GTAGTAGTAGTAGTAGTAGTAATTATCATAATAGTAATAATAATAGTAATAGTAGTAGTAGTAGTAGTAGCAGCAGCCGTAGAAGTCGTAGTAATAGCAGTAGCGATAGGTAGGAGCAGGAGGAGGAGGAGCAGCAGCAGCAGTGGTAACAACGGCGACCTTGTTGTTGCATGTAGGTCGAATTCTTAACCCCGTTTGAAAGCAACATCATAAGGCAACATCTCCTGGAAAATGATGAACATCTGCCACTCCCACCACCAGCATTACAACAGGCTGAGCTCTAGCGCACCGACACTTGGAGTCTGCAAGTCGGGCTCTTTAAGTCTTGTTTTCAAGGGCGTCTTAGGCCAGATCCCTCCGGTGCGCGCAAGGCCATGATCCCCTACAGCTGCCTAAGAAAGCTCATGCGCACAAGGGGGGCTGAGGTTTGGAGCTCAGAAGGCGACATGGCAACTTTCAGATGCTCGGGTGTTAACTTGATATGCAGGATGGGCTTGTGCAATAATCAACAAAACGCATTAGGAAGATATCCGAAGCACAAAAGTCATGTCTGAACCTAGATCCATCAGTACCCTACGTACAACCTGCACCGGTCAGACTACTCCTACAGACTGAGGTCTTCAATTTAGCCAAAGCCGAAGCCCAGCGAGAGTCACACAATTGCAGGGCCTTCAGCTGAAGTACTTGACTTGGGGCCCCCATCCTCGCCCCAACCCCCGCCAGCCCACCAGCTTTCGGAGACACGCTCTCAGCCTTGCCTCAGCCATATGCTTTGTGAAGCATGACTTATCGTGAAGGCCACTGGGAGTTCACATGTTGAGGTGGAGCAGCACTTCGGAATTTAACACGAGATTCTGAAACCCGCATGCTTCTGACGTACTCGAGCGCTCATCCCTTGCTGCGCGGGTGTTCACGGAAGTTTCAGTGGTCCAGTGCTGGGAAACCAATGAAACTAAATTCCGGACCTTTACCGCCAAAAAATGCTGATACGGTGCAGCCACATAATCTCGCGCGCAAACAAGAAACACACACACACACACCGAGGCAGCTGGGAACTACACGAAGATCGGCTAGATCGGTTGATTACTTGATTGGCTGATTGATTCGACGCACCCCAACACTTCCTTCGAGCCGGGTTGCAGCATGTGCAGGATCTCCTCGGTGGAAGGCCTCGGTTAATCAGCCAGTAGATGAGTATAGCTGGTCTGGGCAACTCGACACGAGAAAAGACATCATGGCATCGCCACCTGAAAGCTCGTGACGGCTTCCCTCTGTACCACACTAGTTACAGGTGGTTCCATCACATCGCAGTTTGCAGAGAGCTTGCAGTTCATGAAGGGGTGCCTGACCAGGACCCTCCCTTCACTTTTTGTGCTGTCGGGTTTGGACAGAAACTGATGGCTCGCCCTCATGCTGCCTCCCTTTGCCCTCTCTCTATGTGTCTTCCGCCTCTGACAACCACTGCAATCTTGAACTGAAACGACGAGAAACGGGTGCGGCACAGCTTCCGATTTCGCCTTGGCTTTCGCCTGCATAATCACCGCATCGTTCAAGCTGTCGCCATGCCGAGAAACTGAAATGAAAGACACAGGCAAGCTGCACAGACACTAGATGACTGGCACGCAGACGCATGATGACGAGACAAATGTGGCTTGCTGCTGCAAGACTCACAGCCTCACCCTGACCTGCAAATACAACTCGATTCTGCAGCCAACCCAGGGAACAACCTGTCTGATTCTGATCCCTCTGTGCTGCCTAAAAAAACATGACTGGCTATGATCCATCAACCAAATGTGCCCGCCTTTGCTTTCGACTTGGCCTTGGCTTTGGCCTTGGCCTTGCGAATGCTAACAGACTTTATGGGGAGTTGCGGTAGGAGTGGGTAAACTTCTCCGCAAGTGACCACTTGTGTAGCTGTAAGCCTGCGTGAGCCGATCTTTGTTCTCTGGCGGCACGTCAACCCAGAAGCTATCGTGGGTGAATGCAAGCATGTACCGGAAAAGCGTATCATCAGCATGCCAATGCTACTGACTACTGGCCTTCAAGACTCAAGACCGCCACCATCGCGACCACACTCCGCCAATGAAAGATGGTACCCAAGAAATGTGCTGGGTATATATGTGTATGCAGTGCGCCAAGTCCGCTTCTGTCATGCTTGCAGCATCGTTTCGTATGTCGAGCGTCTTTGTAAATTTCAACAGCACACCTTCGGCATGTACATCGGCATGACATAGGTACAAACATATTTATACACGTGTCAGACGAGCATGCAGCAGATGCATGCGCTCGTAAAGACATAAATGCATGCATGCATGCTTGCTTGCTTGCGAACATACAAACATGTGTATATATATATATAGATACACACAGATACATAGACACCTAGGCACACCGATAGATAGATACACATACATACATACATACATACATACATACATACATACATACATACATAATTACATACAGACAGACAGAGACACATACATACATACATACATACATACATACATACATACGTACGTACATACATACATACGTACATACTTGCACACAGACGTACAGACACACACACAGACAAACACTTACATACATACATACATACATACATACATACATACATACGTACATACATACATACTTGCATACATACATACATAAATACATACATACATACATAAATACATACGAACAGACACACATACATACATATATACATACATACATACATACATGCATGAATGCATGCATACATACGTACATACATACATGCCTACATACATACATAACAGACATACTGACATACTGACATACATACATACATACATACATACATACCTACGACGGTGGTGGTGGTGGTGGTTGGTGGTGGGCTGCTGCTGCTGCTGCTGCTGCTGGTGGACATATGTGGACGTGGAGGTGGGGGTGGCGGCGGCGGCGGTGGTGGTGGTGGCGGCTGCGGTGTCTGTGCGCGTGCATGCGTGTAAGCGTCTGTGAGTGTGTATGTATACGTGATACTAGTACGTGTATGCAAGACACAGTTTGTTGGTTGCACCTGCCCCGTCACTGCCGACTCCTGAAGCAGGCGTCCGATCGCCTCTCGCACAACTGCAAGAGATTTGAAGGAATTGTCTCCTCGTGCTAGCTAAGTAACCAAAAACGAGATAACCGCCAAGACGGCGCCCACGGTTGCTGCATCTACTATACCAAAACCGAACCTGATTCCCTCCATCAACCGGCAGATACATGCCGCTCTGACAACTACGCTGGCGGATCCTCAACATCGAACAGGAAGATATTGATCAGGCATGGTTTTGTTGATGATGTTTGTCGTTGGGCTTAGAGCAACTATATGACTGCAGCATCTGTGCCTCAGTAGAATGAGGGAGTCACTTGATAGCAGAGAACGAAGAGCAGCACCACTGCTTGGCATGCAATTTAACTCCCCAGAGCCGGGCCAGGCACAGCCACGGCAGCTCTGCACCACTACTTAAATGTTGCGAAAGTCACTTTCGCACCTGGACTCTGCAACCCAAGTAATCACAGCTTGCGGAGTGTTTGGGCTGTTTGCTTCGGCGCCCCAAACTCTCCCTTTTCTACATGTTGTGGGCCTCTTGCATCGTCGGAGGAGAAGCAGTGTCCTCGAGCTAAAAAGGGAAGCAAAGGTCCCACCAAGGACCACTTAACGAACTTGCTCGTGATATACATCAACGCTTGATAGCAGGCCGTGTGGGGTCTGTTTCATTGGAACACACTTGGTTTGTTTCGTTCCCGGGCGGCAGTGTTGCAATCTCGTGCTTTGACATGTGACATAATAGTCTTCAAGAGCCTGACTGAATTCTGCCGAAAGCTACTGCTCTTCAGGACTCTAGGTGTTCGGTAAAGTCATCGGTAAAGTCGTGCATACTCTGATGCACAGGATATCCCCACCCAGCCTCTCGACCCAGCAGAACCCCAATCTCGAATTTAAACGGGCAACAATGCTTGCCACATTAGAATCTAGGCCCTACCACAGGAAACTCTATGCTCAGGCTTTGTATACCTCACCCTGAGAGCTTTTGACGCAGTATTGCACAGTTAAACGGGCTGCCTCTCAATCTTGACCAACAGGTATCGAGCACATGACATACGTTGAGCAACAAAACTTGCCCAGACCGTGAAATGGTACTCTGAAGTCCTTGCTCGACGTTTTGTTACAAGTATGGAAACCTCCTCCTCCTCCTCCTGCTGCCAAGCCATGACGTGTTACCCCGCTCTGAGAGAACCTTTCCTACGTTTCTGTGTCCATCCACCATGTGATATGCTGATTTGATCTTGCGGGCAATAATCAAACACTGCGAGAGGCAGCTCCCGGAATCAAACCCTTGTAGCCGGGCCTCTGGCCCTAACCTCGCTAAATGCTGAAACACGACTGCGCCAGGCGGCTGTAGGCTCTAGTGGCGCAAGAGCAGAGTTGTCGGCAATGGCCTGGAGTCAACTCAGTCTGGCAGCCTAGACCGTTCTAAGAGGCTCTAAGTACATGGCATGCTAATCTGATCCGTGTGCTCTTTTGCATGGCTGCATGTTCGAGCATGTACCGGACATATATTGTATATTACTTATTTCTATGGCTGCTACATGCGATGACATATACGAATGTCCCACTCCGGTTCTTTGGCTGGCTTTTGCGGAGGGGGGGGGGGGCCGGCCAGGTTTCGTAGTCCGACGGAGGAGTGAGAACACGTTGAAAGAAGTATACAAAGAGAGCTCCAAGCAAAAAGCCTGAGGCGATGTGTGTCGCAATTATGTCATGCCTCCTCGGCGACTCTCTTCGTGAAGCCAAAAGGAAAACCGCAAGTCCCGGAACGATGGCCTCAGCTCCGGCCACCGCCTTCGCCTTGGCTTTGGCCTTCGCTCTCGCCTGGGATAGTGCGATCAACAACCCCCAAGCTCTCGGATCCATATGTTCGAGTTGCAAAGTATCCTCTCGGCCACGGCCGTGAGTGCTTCGACCCTTCTACAGTTTCTAGCGTAGGACTGTGGAGCTGCGAGAGCTTCGTGTCTCGAACCCTTAAAACTCTCATACCGTACCTGCTGCTGCACCTGTGATGAAACACACACACAATGTTATAGGTGTGTTATTAGTCCAGCGATGTCTTGTTACATACAAGGTACATACACACACATATACACATGCATAGATACATAGATACAAAGATACATTACATAGATACACAGATACACAGGTACGTACATACATACATCCATCCATCCATACATACATAGCTACACGCATACATACATACATACATACATACATACATACATACATACATACATACATACATACACGTATGTGAAGATGTACAGGTGTATACACATGCATGCACACACACACACACACACATATATATATATATATTTTTATGCACATATATACACACATATACCTATACATATACGTATACGTATACATATACACACACGTATGTAGGTAGGTATGTATGTACGTATGTATGTATGTACGTCTGTATTTCTACACATACCTGGTATATGCCTGAAACATGTTTAGGTAAGTGTGTATATATGTATTGTGTATGTGTACACACTATGTGCTCATGTACTTATGCATGTAGCCTAGCTACTACTCAATAGACTTAACTATTGATTCGTAGATGCTCGCCCTCTACCACAGGACCGGCCGCGCACATGTTCCCGAGGTTCCCAAATTGCACAGACCGCGCGCGGGATTCCCTACAACCCTATATTTTATGGGCCATACACGGGATTCCTGAGGTTCGCTACAGTCTCAATAGGTTAGTGTACTCAAGCTTGGGCAGAGCAGCAGTGAAGGTGATGCCATGAAGGAAGTCTTGGAGGTCCTGGCATCGAGGGGACTCACTTTGGAGCTCAGGTCAGAAGGCTTGAGCACTAGCACTGTGCTCGAGCTTGGCTTTACGATTCTGATTTGGTAGTGTAGCTGCAAGCGCTCCTTCGCCTTCGTCTCGGTGCCATGCCCTTCCACAGCATCAGCGCCCTTGCGGCCGATGTTGTCATCGATCTGCGGTCAAAACAAGCTGCAGCCTCCGCCTATGTCTCTCCGTATGTGTATGAACAAACATAAGGAAATCCAGGCACATGAAAAATGCAAAAACACATATGCATATATGAATGTAGGCATGCATGCATGTATGTATGTATGTATGTATGTATGCGTGCGTACATGTCTATATATGTACATGTGTACCTGACATGTATGTATATATCATGCCTGTCTGTGTGGGTAGGCATAAACAGACCTAGATTCTGGACACATATAAAAAAAGAAGATGGCTGACAAACACAGTGCTGCCAGCTTGCGTCTGCCAGGTCCGGCGAGCCCAGGCATGCCCCGGTGCCCGCCTCGGAATTTCATTGTGGTTGTCGTTAGTAAGGTGTCGATCATTCTTTCACGTATAGCGATTATTTGTACTACTCTTATTTCATTAATACTGTTGTTGTTAGCGTTGTTATTGATGATATTATAGTTGTTGTTATTACCTTTGTGGTTCTTGAAAATACTGTTCCAGCTGTGGTTACTATGGTAATTGTAGGCGGTGTTGTTATCTTTGATATTGTTATTAAGGGGCATCGGAGGTTTCGACTCTCACATCCCGACGAAGCGGGCGAGGCTTCTGGAGCACTTGGTCTGAGATTCAGAAGACACTTCAACTTCGCTGGTTACAGTGAACATAAGCCGCCAAGTACCCATCACTCCGGCAGCGTGCCCTATCGCACTGCCGGGACAACAGCTATACGCACAATTACACTTTAAATGCTTCACCGTGCAAAGCTTGCTCGGTGAGCTTTGTCTTGAATCATCGCACCGTCCAAACCATGTCTTACCACATGTCGTCCCACACGATGCTACATCATATCGTTAACTGCACTATAAACATGTGCATTTCTACATGCATGCACGTTTACATGTGTCTATGTACATGTACATATATGTGTACGCTTATTTACTTGCTTATTTACATATCTGTGTGCGCGTGTGTCATGCCTGTATGATGGTCAGTGACACAGCAACATTCTCTAACGCAGTCTTGCATGTTCTGAACACCGAAACCACTCCTTCCATCGCACTGCAATTCTGAAAGAGCAAACTAAGCATAGGACGCTATTGGGGAGTGCTCCTGTCGAACTTTCGATGCAGGGTTGTTTCACAGATGTCACTGCTGCATTAACGAATCTTGCATTCTCTGCTACTGGCGCGTTCATGATCTATGGTTTTACAAGTCTACTGACTCTACTGTCTTGGCCTTGTCAGGGCCTTGTCGCTGAAAGGCGGATGCACGCCGCTCCATGTCCTCCAAATCCTACCCATACTGCCCATACTCTCCTCCCTAACCATGGAAGCACATCCACCCAGCAGGCCCGAAACTAGAAAACCACCCTCTTCCTCAGTCTACATCAAAGGAAGGCAGGCAGCATCACTCAGGTTCAGTCTGGACTGCTGAGATCCTGTCAGGGACAAGATTGGAGGGGCAGGGGCCCTAGTCTGCGGTTTGGGTCGATGTGATCTTTGATTCTTTAGACCAACAGGTTACCAACGGCGTAGATGAACACGAGCAGACTGGAACACTCTTGCACTTACAGCGCACCGTTCAGGGACGTTTCTGTCTCTGGGTTCTTCGGGATGCCGTTCAGCACAGGCCACTTCCGGACGCGAGGTCGAAGGGTGGAACGCCGAACTTCAAGGACTCAGCTTTGTCGAAAGCTTCGGTTGAGACTTTACTGGAACACCTGGAACCCAGGTACATCATCCCATATTCTCTCCCTGCTCCCATGACTGCCTCGAGGCGTCGGCCCGGAGTTCTGCACCGCGCGCTGGTCGCCGAAGTCCAGATTCCTTGGGCAGTACCAGGACAAAAAGGTGGGCGATGCATGTGTACATCTGTCTGTGCATAAACATATATATATATATATATGTGCATACCAAGGCGGCCTGTGTGTGTACATGAATACATGCATGTTTAGGACTCCCGCTCGACGAGGTCAGGCGACGTTTGTGGCGGCAGGAAAGCACTTGAAGGCTCATACGTACATACATACATACAGACATACATACATACATACATACATGCATGCGTACGTACATACATACATACATACATGCATGCATACATGCGTACATGCATACACGCATACACGCATACATGCATACGTACGTACATACACACATACATACATACATACATACATACATACATACATACATACATATGTCTACATGTATATATACATACGTATGCATGTATGTCTGTCTGTATGTATGTATGTATGTGTGTGTGTATGTATGTATGTATGTATGTATGTGTGTATGCATATCTGTATATATATATATACACAAATATGTAAGCATGCGTATATACCTGCATATTTTTGTATATACACATATTTATCTATGCACACATGCTTTGAATGTGACTGAAAATTAAGTGCCTGCATGTGTACTCGCACAAACAAGCCCAACCCTTTCACATCCTACGAAAGTCCAATCCAGATTTGCCTCACTTGCTAGGTCACATGGACCGGGCGCAAAGTGGGAGGATGCTCCGAGACTTTCTTTGACTCCCTTCGGAGCTTGATTTCTTCTTGTTGGGGAACCACAACTTTCAATACGATGTAGGAATGTAGGACCTACATTGGGGGGAGTAGGAGGTTGAGAGTCTGGAAGGACATTCCCCGAGACCAAATCCACCTCAAGCAGGGGCAGACTAGTACAGTACCCCTCCTTGAAGTGACCGTTGAGAAATCTTGGAACGCGGGTCTCTCTGCAAAGCTTTCGGATGGGTGAGAGAGCTGGCGAGTGGCATGTCAATGTCAGTAAACAACAGAATATCCTCCAACAGCGTTTCTTCGGATCAGCTTTTGGGTCGCTACAGGTTGGCAAGAGATGGCTAGAACTTCCATCTGCAGCCACCTTGCCAAACAAAAATTGACCGCAAAGTGATCAGAAGAAGCCAGGGAATCGGCAAACTGTGCCAGCCCAGATAGACTCCATTCCTAAAAAAGCCTTCCGTAGAGGCCTCATGCACGGATTGAGAGTCGCAGACTGTCTAAGCAAACTGCACACGTGCACATCAATTCATCCATCCATCCAACAATCAATCCGTGTCTCTATCTATCTATCTATCTATCTATCTATCTGAATCTATCTATCTATCTATCTATGTCCCTATCCATCTATATTAATCTAGCTAACCAGTAGCTAGCTATGTGCATCTAGCTAACCAGTCTCTCTCTCTCTCTGCACGGTGCTTTGCTTCTGGCACACAGGGCCACGTACATACAGACACAGCCTCCGTGGGCCACTATGTTCGCAACGAGGCTCGCCACGGATCCATGCTTTCCTGAGCAGCACTTGAACTGGCATCTACGACAGAAGGGACTAGTGTTGACAAGTTCGCCCATTTCTGCCTGACACCCCCTGGCTGCAGGTTTGGCAGTACTGCAATGCCGCAATACCTGTCTATGGTGTTCAATTGCATCCTGTTGGGCAGATCGCTCGTAGTTTGCGTGTCAGGAAATGCAGTCACGAACACAAGCAATGCAGACGGGGGTCTGAGTTTCGAACCTTCGGCAGGCGGAGCTGTATGTGAATGTGGGAACCTGCAGCAGGCGGAGCTGTATGTGAATGTGGGAACCTGCAGCAGCCAACTCGTCTACCCTATTGTATGCAGAAACACGCAGAAGCCTGCGTAAAAAAGAATAGAAGGTGTTCAAAGTTGAAACCGGCGTCATGAGCCTCTTGACATGCACCAGACAAGGCTTGATGGAATGGCTTCGAAAGAGCTTCTCTTGTCAGGTTACCTTGCCGCATCTAATCTGCTGATTCAGTATACAGACGTTGTGCTCTTGAAACGACAACTTCTCGGTACGACGCGCCCTTGCACAGCTCTGCATTTATCCCTGGGGCGTTGCAGCCTGCCACCAGTATTGCATGTGAGAAGACTGGGGGGCCGCGACGAGAGTGGGTCACATATGCGAGGGATAAAGGCAGGTCAATTCCTTGGACGCCACCGTGAGATAACCAGACCTGCACCAGAATCCTCATGTCTGGAACCCTACGGTGTGCTAGGATATCTATCTACATACCGCCGGGATTATGAACGACTGACTGACTATATCTTGTGATGTTTGAAGCGCAGGCATCCAGGGACCAACTTCATGACATAAGCCCGGGCTCGGTTGGGATTCCCGAGTCCAACTTCGTGTCTCCTCAACCCCCTTTCCGCCCGCCTTGATGCCAAGTCACGAAACTGTTTCTGCAGCTCGCCCCTCGGTGAGACGTGAGACGGCGGACTCGGGCTATCGAAAAAAGCAAAAGGAAATACACATAAGCTTTCACACTGCGCAGCCTGCCTACGACGACATTTGCAAACCAGCTTAGGGAGTTGCAAGCGTGCGCAAATTCGCGGCCGTCGCAACGATCCCAGCACTGGCCACCCTGCTGTACTCGGTAATGAACCTGATCAAGGCCGGGCTGCTGCAGCTGCCGCTGCCGCTGAAGCAGCAACTTCACTTCGAAGCTAACCTCAAAAACCGCCATACCCACAGAGCAGCATTGTCAAGGCATGTCGAGTCAAGTGTCTATCATGATTTTCTGGCCCCCTTGCCCCACAAGGAGGTGTCTAGGGCTGCACAGGAGAAACCAAGGCTCAGTGGAGCCGAAAACTTGGCAACGAGTAAGCCGATTGAGCACGGATCAGTACAGCAGCATATGTCATGGCATGATGACGGGAAGTCATCACAGCTAGGCACCTGCCCAAATCCATGAAAGCTTGGCCAATCCACCAGGTAAACCACATCAAACCCAGAAAACATCCTCTGCAAAAGTCTCTGAACTATCGGTGGCCACTGGACCAGGCTCACGTCCATGGACGAAGCGGAACCTCGCATCCGGCAGCATGCCTCGGGTTTCGGAGTCCCTGACAGAGTCTGCAGCCGACCACTTTCAGAAACTCCATGAGCAGGAGCAAGATTTGACCATGCTTGGGATCTCCGACTCTGGATATTACCGGTATTCTCTCACTCCGACATGACCGAGGCTCCAAATTCTGGTCAGAGAATGGAGTTACTAGGGTAATGCTGTCGTAATGGCCGCCGGCCCGACCCTGTTCGCAAACCAGCAACCTCATGGTTGAGATGGACGGTGGTGATGACATCATTGAGGTTCTCACCATCACCATGTTCATCATGGCCATATCTATTAATATCTATGTCGATACCTGGTGCGATCGCTCATGAGTATTGTGGGTGGAGCTCACCTTAGCTCTCCCTGTTAAAGTCTGTTCCCGAAGGCACGGTGCTGATGATGCCACCGGCACGACAAGCACGACGAGCATCATCACCATCACCATGACCATCACCGCCATCTCCCGGGAATCATTGTCATGAGAAGCAACTAAAATCGCTGAGCTTCTTGGACGAAGTCAAGGAAGCTCACGGAGGTAGCACCTGCACTGCCCCACAGGAACGGAGTCATGCGAAAATCCAAAACTTCGGATTCGCCTTGGAGTTACGACAAGCCTAGAGGCTTTCGGGGATCCTTCAACGTCAATGCTTCGCCAAGTGGCTCGGCGAAAGCATCGCGAAGAACGTCGTGCCTCAAAAAAGCAGAACGTAAGCTTCAACTGTAAAGATGATGCCGCACCTGTCCAGGTCTCACAGTTCTGCGCTGCCAAGGCTTGGTCCTCCAGTCAAAACCGATATCGGACTTCGTTTGTAAAGAAGACAAGTGACAGTCTTTGATGTCGAGGCCGTGGAACTTCAAGAAAGCCTGGGCCACTCGTGAAGCTCAGGCAAACCTTCATGAAAAGCCGGAACTACCAAGCACCAAATTGTGCAACAGATGGCACAGTCTGCTGAATCAGGTGATGTGTCATATGTCCTGCGTTCCAGGCAAACCTCTCAGCCTTGCACACTACCCTAGCCCCAAGCATCAAGGTGCTATGTCTGCTTCTGTGGCTCGATACAACTGGTCAGCAAGCTGCAGCTGAGTCGCTGCCAGTTGGTTTTCACTTCCCATCGCCTCCCGAAACTCATCGACGCTGATGTGTCCTCAACTAGCAGACCCATGCACCGTCGCGGAGTCACCATGAACCTTGCTTTCAGGTCAAGAAACCGCGTTTTCAGCCGTTGTAAACGCCAAGAGCGTCGACCCCGAATCTTCACGCAGCATCTTTGCAGCGGGGCGGCCGTCGCCATCCCAGTCGACCTGAGGGACTTTCGGCCCCGGAGGATAATGGAGCTTGAAGAGGCTTTCCAGGTGCTCTCCCACGGCATTTGAGGGTGTGAGGCAGCTTGAGATGCCGCAGTGTAACTTACATGATGCCACAGATTGCAGCATTCCGGTGCTTGCCAGCTTGGCAAAGCAATGTAATCCCATCACCCATTTATTAAACACCTCCTAAAAACACTTTGGGGCCAATCCTCCCGGAATCATCCCTGCCCTTTAAAACCTCATTTGGATTAGGCTGGCCCGGAGCAAGAGCAAGAGCAGGAATTGGATCAAGAGTCGGAGTAACAGCAAGAGCAGGAGCAAGACCAAAAGCAGGAGCAAGCAAGAGCAGGAGTAAGAGCAAGAACAAAATCAGGAGCAAAAGCAAGAGCACGAGCAGGAGTAAGCGCAAGAGCAGGAGAAAAATCCAGCACGAGAGCAAGAGCAGGAGCAAGGTCCGTCAGACTCAAAAGATACGGAGGGGAATAAAAGTCAGTCTAATAAAACAAAATAAAACCCTTTTTTGATTTCTTATAGAAGGGGCATCTGTCTGCAGATCATCGGATACCCGTATGAAGAACTTATCGTAGGTGCGCTGTGAAACGCAGGTACTCAACCATCCATGTGATGTTGAATGCAGAATTTCCATATGACTGTATAAATTCTTCTGGAAGGCCAGATTCTAGATACTGTCAGTATGCTTAATCTCCTCCTGTTGCACACGAGTCAGCACCAGCATCTCAGGGAGCAAAACGCAGAAAGCCACATAAACCTGCACAAACACAAGCTGCAGGATGCACAGGAGGCATGGCAAGCCAAACCACCAGCACATATCCATACAAGAAGGCAGCGCATGTTGTCGGAATTCTGGCGGGCGCGAAACCATGGAAAAATACGACAGCCTCGAAGAGCATCTGGTAGAGCTGCACTGCAAAGATCTGGTCCTCGGCCTGCTTCCTTTCCAGGTTCTCGGCCATCCTCGGGCAGTCGGATTCTACGGGCCAGCGGCTCGAGAGCACTGGAGGCGGTTGGGATACGTCGAACTGAAAATGTCGAGGCGTGGGTTGTGTGGTCTAACGGGGACTCGGACACCTTTCTCCAGTGGCAAATCTGAGGACTTGACACGTCCCCTCTCAGAAGATTCATTGGTGCTGTTAAAAGAGTTCGGGGCGAGCCCATGACTCTCTGGAAGACATGGGGAGAGCCAGAGCTGCCGAGAAGTACATGACAGGCCTGAGCTATGTCGATCGAGCTACAATAAGACAAAACCGTGAACAAAAAATTACAATGTTGACAAAGTTTACAAGTCAGAAGCTGCTTTGCAGCTTGTTGCTGCAGCAACGACTGCTTTCCCTTGCTCCATCATGGGCTGGGTTTTTCTGTGCTTTGAAGTTGTTTCGCAAGCGATCCCGAACATACTGCACCCCTCAAGTTGAGGCATAGGGTTACCGCATCGCCATGCTGCCGCCGAAACTGCGGCGCCGTAAGATGCACCTCCGTGTGGTACGGGATCTAGATTGCCACGATAGTCTCTGCCGCATGATCGAAAGGTGTTCGGCATGTGGGGCAGGAGGCTTCCTTTGCCGACCTCAAAACCCAGCGAGCGATGCACTCCTCGTGATAGACATGACCGCATGGAAGCGCAGCAACGTCGGTGTCTGCGTCAAAGTCTTCCAGGCAGCAAGCACAAGCCTTCTGGCTTGAAATGCTCCCTGACAGCGTGCGGTTAACTGTTGTCAGAGCTGTCCATGTGATGTTGCTCGTGTTTTCGACGTCGCTCAGGTCGGTCTTGACGGAAACGAGGTTGAACTCCACGCCGGCGGGGGTCGATGTGTCCAGCTCTCCGAACTTGCAAGCCGCCCACACACAATGGCACTCCTTCTCCATCTCCGTGTCATTCACAGTTCCACCCTCTGCCCTTGCAGTCTTCGTGAACATGACGACGAACAAGAGCAGAAACAGAAGGACTGACATTGACGCACATACCACCATGGGCCAATACGCATCCTTCACAACCCCAACCAGCATGCTGATCACGGACAGGGCCACGAGGACGATCGCCCACACGATGAGCTTCGCATTGCTGCACTGCACGGATGCCGCCATTTGCACCTTGCCCTGCAGGTCCACAGGCCAACTACAGTTTGTCTAGCCAGGCAATCATGACAAACTCTACAGTGTCATGCATGCACTGCGTTGGGCACGATATTATCACTGCGAACAACTCACAGCTCGGATGACATCATCATCCTATGCTCTTGCCGGTTTACCTGATTTCACCGACCTGCTCTTGAGCAAAACCTGGATAACGCGCGCGTCCAGCCTAATGCTGTTCGTCTCAAGAAAGCAGAACTTTTCTGTCACCGGCCCATGCAGAAAAGCGACATGAGCATCAGCTTCGGCATCATTATCATCACCCTACTTATCAGCACCGGCAGAAACATCAGAAGCATCGTCGCTGTCTTGAGTCATAACCGTGACAACCAGCATTCGACGCAGCAGTTGAGGTAGTACTATAGTTGCAGTCGTCGTCGTTCTGGAGGTGTTTGCGGTGGCCGTAGCGATAGCAGTAGCAGCGGTAGTAGCCGCAGAGGTAGTAGTAGCAGTAGTACTAGCAGCAGCAGCAGTAGTAGTAGTAGTAGCAGTAGCAGTAGCAGTAGCAGTAGCAGTAGTAGTAGTCGTCGTCGTCGTCGAAGTAAGAGTAGCAATAAGTAATAGCAGCAACACCTGTAGCCTTAGCAGTAGCAGTAGCAGCTGTAACCTTAGCAGCAGCAGTAGCAGCAGCTGTCGCAGTAGCAGTAGCAGCAGAGTAGCAGAGCAGCAGCAGCAGCAGCAGCAACAGCAGCAGCAGCAGGAGTAGTAGTAGTAGTAGTAGTAGTCGTCGTCGTGGTGGTGGTGGTAGTAGTAGTAGTAGTAGTGAAAGTAGTAGTGAAAGTGGTAGTGAAAGTTGTAGTAGTAGTAGTGGTAGCAGCAGCAGTAGTAGTAGTAGCAGCAGGAGTAGTAGTAGTAGTAGTAGTAGTAGTAGCAGTAGCAGTAGCAGTAGCAATAGCACTAG